CTTCCACCCCCGTCTCTCCCTCCCTCTCCTGTTATTTGACTGCTTCATGCCTCACTTTTCTCCATGGCCTTGAAGATGAAATGAAACACTGCAGGGAGGTACTACTAAGAGGGCTCATATACTTCATCTCTGGTGGTTATTTTTGATCAAATTCACTGTTGTCACTATCTCCCTCCCTCCTGTTTCTTTATTTTTAATTATTTTTTGTTAATCCTCACCTGAGGATATTTTTTCCATTGATTTTTTTAGAAAGAGTGGAAGGGAGGGAGGGAGAGGAGAAAGAGAAAGAGAGAGAGAGAAGAGACATCCATGTGAGAAAGACACATCAATTGGTGGCCTCTCGGATGGCATACACCCACCAGCTGGGGATCAAACCCGAGACTCTGCTGTGCTCAGGCGGATGCTCTAACCACTGAACCACACCAGCCAGGGCTCCCTCCCTCTTGTTTCTTTGGTCTTCTGGGGCAGCAGCATCCAGGCCTTGGGGTTGGGGGTGGGGTCGGGGGTTGAAGGGAGTCTCCTGTCACTGACTCAGATCTGAGGGAGGAAGCCTGAGAGGGTCAGGTGTGTGCCCACCCTCCGTGAGAGACATCTCAGGAGGTGGTTCCACACCCCCCCAGCGGGTGGGATGGACCCTGGGCATAAGCTGGAGAGAGCTGATGGGACGGGTGATGCTCAGCTCGTAAGGAGAGCATGAGGATTCTGTCCGCCCTACCCAGGCTCCAGGAAATGCCCCACCTGGGAAGGCATGGAGGGGCCTGGGGATGAGAGACTAGGAAGGGTCACTAGGCGTGGGGGAAGGGGACCTCCTCTCCACTGGACACTGGGGGACTTCTCTTCACTGGGCACGGGGGGGGGATCCTCTCCATTGGGCGCTGGGGGATCTCCTCTCACCTGAGCACTGGGGCCTCTCCACTGGCCTGACCCTTTCCTTCTCTTGTCCGCAGCCATGGTCAATGCTACCAGGACACCTGGTGAGTAGGAACCACCTGAGGGGAGGGGAATAGAAGACGCCTGAAGGGGAGGGCAGTGCCTATGTGTCTGTCTGTGGGGACAGGTCAGGAAGAGGCAGTGGGGCGAGAGTGGGGTTGAGCTAAGGAGCAGGCAAGAAAGGAGGCCCAGAGGGCAGAGCAGAGACTGGGATGTGGAGGAGGGAGGACCAAGGGCAGCTGGGGTCCAGGAGGGTGAATGGCCGAGAAGGTAAAAGGAATAGAGCTGTGGGCAAGTGAGGACCAGGTGGAGGGGAAAGGCCAGCCAGAGGGAGGTCAGAGAAGGGCAGGTCAGGGGAAGAAAGAGCCAAGGGGGTACATGCAGGGCAGAAGGGCAGTGGGAGAGGCGGTGCGGGTGGGTGAAGGGCAGGTGGAAGGGGAAGAGGACCGTGCAGAGGGGATGACAGAAACCTGGACCCTCCTCACCAGCTCCTCCAGCCTGTGGGAAGCCCCAGCAGCTGAACCGGATTGTGGGTGGCGAGGACAGCGCAGACGCCGAGTGGCCCTGGGTTGTGAGCATCCAGAAGAACGGGACCCACCACTGTGCAGGCTCCCTGCTCACCAGGCGCTGGGTGGTCACCGCCGCCCACTGCTTCAAGGGGTATGACAGCCAGCCTCCTCCGCTTGAGTCCCCAGCTTCCTACCCACACCTGGGCTCCTCACACAGCCTGGCGCTGGTCCAGTCTGGGGTCTCTCAGGAGGGACCCTGCCCCTTCCCAGAAGGCTCTTTTGTTTTTGTGGGGACTTTTCGTGTGCACTCTTCCCCAGACACCCCTTCCAGATCCTTCCTGGCCATCCGTGGCTCCTGGCTGACCCCGTTCCCGTCCCTCTTCCTTTCAGCACTCTGAACAAGCCATCCCAGTTCTCTGTGCTGCTGGGTGCCTGGCAGCTGGGGAATCCTGGCCCAAGGTCCCAGGAGGTGGGTATTGCGTGGGTGCATGCCCACCCCGTGTATTCCTGGAAGGAGGGCTCCCGCGCAGACATCGCCCTGGTGCGCCTCGAGCACTCCATCCAGTTTTCTGAGCGAATCCTGCCCATCTGCCTGCCTGATTCCTCCATTCATCTCCCGCCGAACACCAACTGCTGGATTGCAGGCTGGGGGAGTGTCCATGATGGAGGTGCGCTTCCTCCCCACCATGCGGTTGGGGGCTGATAAGAACGATAAGGACAGAGGATGGTGAACACTCAAAGACACAGGTGTCATGCAACAAAGCATAGATGCCAGAGACAGACAAAAAGATGGACTACAATCCAGAGATGTGACATCACAGAGGCCTAGGTGGACAGTTTTAGGTCATTTTAAATTAGAAGGTGTCTTTAGCTGTGTTCTAAGGCAACAGCAGCCAGATCACGAAGCTATTAAGTGATCTAGGAATGGCTGAAAGGAGGCATGTGTGGGGCGGAGCCAAATACCATAAATTTGAAAACAGCCTTAAGATTCTAAAGTTTGAAAAGCACCCCTGGTGGCAGCGTGCTGTAATTGCAGGCAAAATTCCCAGGAGGAAATAGTCTCTGGAATTGCAACACATAATTGCAAACTAAGTTTGGAGGTTTGGAAAACATCATCTAGAAACACAAAGCAGATTAGATAAAGTAAGAGGCAGTGAAGCAGAAAAAGATAGATGGGATAGAGAAAGAAAGAAAGAAAGAAAGAAAGAAAGAAAGAAAGAAAGAAAGAAAGAAAGAAAGAAAGAAAGAAAGAAAGAAGGAAAGAAGAAAGGACAAAGTGAAGGAAGGAAGGAAGGAAGGAAGGAAGGAAGGAAGGAAGGAAGGAAGGAAAGAAAAGAAAAGAAAAGAAAAGAAAAGAAAAGAAAAGAAAAGAAAAGAAAAGAAAAGAAAGGACAAAGTGTCAGAAAAATGGGACTTTAACCAGATTCCAAAAGAATTAAGAGAAACAACACCATTTCCGTTATTTGGAGATCCCACTGACAGGTTTCAGTTAGCCTCCCCATGGTCCTTAGGGCTTCTGTGAGAACTGGAACTGTGGACTGAGGGGGTGAGGAGAGAGTCTACATTTCCCTCCACCCCTAGGCTGTCGGGAAATTTTCAAGTCCTCGTGACACTCAACACTGAGTGCTCATTTATTGAAAACTTCATCTGTAGCAGTCCCCATGCAGGATAAAGCAGTGCCTTGAGACAGGACAAAACCTGGACCATTGGGCCTAACCATATGTGGGCATCAGAGATCTTAACAATTCAGAGCTTGAAGCTGCATGTTCATGCTCTGATTCAGTAGGTCCAGAGGTGGAGCCCTGGAATTTGGGTTTTCTGCAACCATCTTGGGAGAGCCTGACAGAGGTGATCCATTAGCAGTTGAGAAGCAATGCTAAAGGGAATGGAGGAGGGAACTGAGGAGGCAACCAGGAAAACTTCCCACGCCTGACTCTCTCCTCTTGCCTCCCAGTGCCCCTGCCCCACCCTCAGACCCTACAGAAGCTGAAGGTTCCCATCATTGACTCGGAAATCTGCGGTCGCCTGTACTGGCGGGGAGCTGGGCAAGAAGCCATCACCGAGGACATGCTGTGTGCTGGCTACCTAGAGGGGGAGCGTGATGCCTGCCTGGTGAGCACCCACCTTCTTCCCAGTCTTGCCCCCCTGAGCTTCCTCACTGCTGGCTGGGCATCTCCCAGAATCAGCTGTGACCTGCAGACCCCTAGATGCCTGCACAACAGGCTTCCATGAGGTTCAGCCACTCACTCATACATCCAACATTATACTGAGCACCTCAGGTGTCCAGACCCCACTCTCAGGGAGCTTGCATTCTCCTGAGGTGGGGGTGCCACATCCTCCGCCACAGCTGTCACTGATGGAGGATGGCAGGATAGTGTTGTGTTCAACACTTGGGCTTGGACATTGTAAGGCCTGGTCGAAATTCCTACTCTGCTACCCATAAGTTGCCAGCTTGGGAAGTCATTTCGTCTTTCTGAGCCTCAGTTTCCCCATCTGTGAAACAAGTAACAATACTCTCTGCCTGACCTGTGAGGGAAGAGGTCTCACGCAGTGTTTGTCACCAGAAGTGAGCCTGGAAGACATGTCCTACCCGGCTCTCTCACCTGGGTGGAATTCCAGTGCCTCCGCCTCCAGGATAGATAAATG